CTTCCATTGATGGGCACTTAGGCTGTCTCCATCTTTCTGCTATTATAAATAGTGCTGCTATGAACATTGGTGTGCCATGGTCCCTTCTTAAAGAGTTCACCATTCATGACTCAGTATAGAACCAGTGCTATGGTAGAAGAGTTCAGACTCGGGTTTCTCAGAACAGGAAATTTGTAGACTAACTGAGAGCCCACTAGGCAGGTAATGTCAACAAAGTCAAGAAGAAAGGGCAGTGCTGTAGCCAACTGGAGCATATCATTTAAAAGACATAGCCACTTAGCAGTTCTGGAAGAAATGAGAGTCTAATTCTTTCAGATCTCTCAAATTTTCTAGAGAAAAACAAATTTTTATGTGACGAGTTTATAATGTATAAATGTTGGCAACAATTAAAACCTAAATGCATGCATCTATACTTATAGATACATGATGTATATGTACATACATATACCCTGAAGACTAAGACTAACACATCTGCAGGCCAGCTCCAACCCATGAGTGCCAGTGCATATCCCTAAGTCCAAAGGGGCCAGGAGGGGGAGGTAACAGTTTGCCATGATCTGTGCTAGTCTGTCCACTCCAAGAATGCTGGCTTAGCTGTGACTGCTGTACCTAGTGGAATAGGAAAGAACTGGGGAGGGCTCAGAAGCAACTAAGCAAGACAGGGAAGAGACTGTATAGTTCAATTCCTCTTAATATTCACTAATAGCCCTCTGTGCCAGGCCACATACTACATGCTAGAGATACAGAGGGAAACAAACAGCTCTGCTCTTGTAGAACCTACCGCCTGAGGGGAAGTTAAAGGAACTGGGGTGATTTCCCTGGTGAGGAAAGCTCATGGAGGACAGACTGTGATAATTTTTACTGTTTACTTGCGGACATTATGCTCAGTGCTTTGCCTGCAATTCTTACCATGCTTTGAGGTAGATACTGTAGCTGTCTTTGTTTCATGAGAAGCAACTGAAGTTAAGGAAGGTTAAGTGACTCAGTCACTACACCAGGTAAAGTTATTCTCTGTGGTTCAGAAGAATGCACCAGGCTGTCAAATGAGAGCCTTTGTTTAAGGCCACCATAAGTAGCTGGCAGTATAAAACCCACTGTCATCAAGTCAATTCCAACTCAGAGCAACCCAATAGGAGAGAGGAGAAATGCCCCCATAGGGCTTTCAAGACTGAAGACATTTAGGGAAGCAGATTGCTTCATCTTTCTCATGCAGAGCAGCTGGTGGGCTCGAACCACCGAACTTTCAGTTAGCAGTATTGAGTAAATGTTTGCTCCTCTCTCTGTCATTGAAGGCATTCACAAGCTGACGGAACGGTGTTATTTTTTATAAGGCTGTTAGAGAGGGTCCTGGTGTGGTGCTGTAGGATAAGCACTGGACCACAAGGTCAGTTTGAATGGTAAAGTCAGTGGTTCAAAATCACCAGCTTGCTCCTCAGAAACCCTATATAGGGTCACTATGAGTCAGAACCAACTCAAAAGCACTTAACAACAAAAGAAAGGGTAGCCAAGTATTAGGTGGCAACACTGAGCACAGCCTTCTAACCATGAGAACAGAGTTCCACTTTTCCTGAAATAGTTATTTGCCTTCTTGGAAGAAATAGTGCAAAGTAATTACCAATTACATTCCACCTGCTGCACCCTATGAAATACTCCATGGATGGGGAACAAGCCTAAATTAGGAGCAGGCAAACCAAACTGTCAATCAACTAACGTTGACTGTGTGTTTGTGACATGTGAAGCATATTGTTCTGAGTTCTAAGTCAGTGTGCACGTCAGGAATAGAGCATTTGAAAGGGACTGCTACCTGGACTCCTGCTGTGGCATTGTGGGCCAATGCACTGGACTGCAAATTCAGTTTGAACCACAAGGTCGGTGGTTCAAGCTCACCAGCCATTCCTCGGAAAACCCTATACAGGGTGTCAGAACTGACTCAAGGGCACTTAACAACAACCTGGCTTTTTCATGCATTTACTGTTGACCTTGAGAAAGTTTTTCTTCCTGAGTTGAAAATCAACTCCAATCAAATCCTCCAGTGCAGAAGGAGTCGCAGAAGTCAATGAAACCTGGGAGCTCAAAGGCTTCAGATCTGATATTCTCCAAGGCTGCTCCATCCAGCATGGCAGCTACTAGCCACATGTGGCTACTCTGCACTTGTGATGTGGCTAGTCCTAAATGAGCTGTGGTGGAAGTATAAAATACTCAGTGAATCTCAAAGATTGAGTATGAAAAACAGAATGCCAAAAAGCTCTTAATAATTGCTTTGTATTAAAATATTTTGGATATATTTGGAGCTTTCATATTGCTTTGTATTGAAGATATTTTTGGATATACTGGGTTAATTAAAATATATTAAAATTATTACTTGTTCTTTTTTTTTGAGGTTGAGTACCTTTTCATGTCATTTGTGTACCTTTAAAATTTTTTGTGTGAGAAATACATGAGGGTGCTTCAAATATTTCATAGAAAAATTCCACTGGCTTTTAGTTCCATTTTTCTATGAACTTTTTGAAGCCCCCTTGTATAGCAAAACATACACCAACAAAAATCTTTTTACTTTTTAAAAATGGTACTACTTCTTGTTAAGTGCTGTCAACTCAGTTGACTCACAGCAACCCTGTATAGGGTTTACAAGGAGCAGCTGTTAGGTTTTAAACTACTGACCTTGTGGCTAGAAGTCCAATGCTTATCCTATAGTGCCACACCAGGAGTCCAATGTTACTACTAGGGAATGTGAAATTACAATATAGCTCACACCATATTTCTATGGGACAGTGCTAGTCTACAGGGAAACTAAAGTCCAGAAAATGTAAACAACTTGCTCAGACTGGAGCCAGAGTAATCCAACTTCTCATTCAAGGCTCTTTCCACCCTAACAAGTTGTGGAAGCCAGCCTCCAAATGGTCCCTAATGATCCGCATCTTTTGTCACCCTTGTGTAGTCTCATTCATGCCAAATCGGGTTACCCTAAGAAGACAGTGCAGAAACAACTGTGTAAGAGTTAAGAAGACACAGGCTTCCACTTTGTCTGCAATCACTTGCTCCAAGGAAAGCCAGTTCCCCTGCATTGAGAACATTCAAGCAGTCCTATGCAGGCCCACATGATGAAAACCTCAGACTTCCTGTTAGCAAGCAACACCAACCCGGCATGTGAATGAGTCCTGTTAGAAACTGATCCTTGGTCCCAATCAAGCCTTCAGATGAGAGCAATCCTGGCTGATATCTGACTCTAAACTCATGAGATTCCGACCCAGAATCACCTAGCTAAGCATCTGCCAAATTCTTGACCTACAGAAAATGTCTGAAATCATATTTATTGTTCTTAAGTTGTTAATAATGGGGACAATGTATTATACAACAATAGGTAACTAATGCATGCTTTCAAACAGAAACTTCATTATCAGAAAACCTCATTTCTGTCACAGGCATTTCTATAGTATGAGAAATTATTGTCTTTCCCTCAATCTCTGGCCTGCTTAAATTACCCCAAATACATGTAGCTAAATTTTCAGACTTGGGGAATCTAATCCAGGAAGACAAGATTTTACTTTATTGTTCAAAGAAGCTTTTCTCTGCTCTGTTTATTAGGAAAAAAAATCACATCAAATCACCTTCACCTAGGCTACCCAGAGATTTGATGTCCACCAAATCAAAGGAAATGGAGTCCATGACTGTACAGTTAGACACAGTATCAAGGAAGTAGTAAATAGTTGAGAAATTACATGGAAGTTTCTCTAAACGGAGAAACTGGTGTCAATAGGGACTTCAGAAAGTGCATGGAAAAAATCCATTATCTTTTAGTTCCATCTTTACAACTTTTTGAAGCCCCCTCATATGGGTGATATTTTTTAGTGTTTTTATACCTAGTCTTTCTGTTGTAGGTGAGGAAGAAATAAATAAACTTGAATACATAAGGAAACAATGGCTTAGAACCCAGAGGTGCCGTATCTTATGACCAGCGAATGACAGGGCTGTGTCTAGGAAGTGAGTTTGGTGATTCCAAGTCCGGATCGTTGCTTTCCAGGGTAGGGCCATCCTGGTTGTAATAACAACAACCTTCAGTTGATGTTGTCCTCTGAAGTCAATGTGCACTTGTAAGTCTCCATAAAGGCCTCAAGGAAAAGTGGCATTACTTCATTCACAGTGACATATCTCTGGAGCTCCTTACTCAGGGAAGTCACGCCTGTCCCCACCAGCCCACAGGGGACAATATGCTCAAACCACTTCAGGTCCGTACAGCAGTTCAGAGCCAGTCCGTGGGATGTGATGTGCCTTCCGCAGCGGACTCCTGCAAGACAAGCCAAAGAGTCTTAAGAATAGATACCTTCCTCTCAACCTGCTTTAGGTTCCTCCCTAGTTCAGTGAGGGGATTAGATTAGATCAACCCAAAGGGGTCATACATATGGAGAAGAGGAGAAACCGGAGGGTGGCACCACGTAGCTACACTTATTCTGTATAATAGGGTTTCTAAAAAAATGACCTTTCATACAGGGTGTTGCTTAAAAAAACGAATATGAGAACTACTAAGCGCCCTTATTCTTACATTGTGATTTACGGGAAATAACCTGGAAAGTCACTTCTATAGGGCTCTTCATCCGTAATGATGAGTGTTGGATTACATGTGCTCTGAAAGTCCTTCTGACTCTGAATATTTGTTTAGTAGAAACTAAACATAACCAGAAATTCTGATTTAAAGCCTGCGCCAATTACATCTCCTCCCAAACTGCGATCTGGCCTTAGCCTTCATTGGTCTAGCCCTTGATCCCGCCCCCAACCCTTGACGCCATCATCCCCGCCTGGCTCCGCCCACCTACGCTCACCTATAGCGCAGATCTTGAAATCACCTAGCCAAACGCCAGTGTACGGCGGAGGTCTAGCGTGCGCGGTCCGCAGGCCCTGGAGCTCACATAGGCGCACAGCGCACGCCTCCAGGGCTGCCACGTGAGTGCGCAGACGCAAACCCAAGCGCCTCAAATCAAGCACTGGATGGCAAAGCAGCTGGCCTGGGCCGTGGAATGTGGCCAGACCGCCACGGCCGGTGGCGCGCACCTCGGCACCTAAGGACCGCAGCCGCGCTGCCTCTTCTGGTGTCAGGCCGCCGCGCAATCCGGCTGTGTATACAGGCCCCGCGGGCTCACTGAGAAGGAGCGCGCCTGCTTCAATCCCCGACCAGGCCTCGGTGCCTGGCTCTGCTTGCAGCCGCCTCAGCCAGCACTCCTGCTGCTCCAGAACTTCAGCATACGGCACCCGGCCCAGACTCACCAGCCGTACTAACTGCTGTCTCATCGCGTCCACTGTGGCCTCCTCGGAGCCCCGCCCTCTGTCGAGTCCGAGGGGCGTACCGGGGGCGGGGCCTCAGGGACACTCGAGCTGTTACGGTCCTGTTACAGACTGGCTGATGGGAGGTTTTGTGACCCTAGGACCACAGAGTCTGACTCACGGTTAATACAGTCCTTTTAACAAATAGCGGCTTTGGTGCTAACCAAAATGTCGGCAGATTCGAACCCACAAGCCGTTCTGCAGGACAAAGATAAGGAAGACTGCTTTCAGAAAGATTTACAGCTTTGGAAACTCTATGGGGGCAGTTCTACTCTGCCTTACAGGGTTGCTGTTAAGTCAGAATCGACTGGAGGACAGTGGGTTTGATTTTGGTTAGGTTTTATAAGGAGCCCTGGTGGCGCTGTGGTTAAGCTCTTGGCGGTTATAACCAAAAGGAATATCCGGATCCTGGGATGGCCCAGCAGAGTTATTCCAAATCAAAGCAAGGGGATCCAAATTTTATGTTCTTGTAATAACCAGTCATTGTATGCATGCTGCACCTGGATAGGCAGGTGTAACCTTTGTTAAGCATCCTTAGGTGAAAAGTAGTTCCCAGAAAGGGAATGAATGAGTTTGGCGGAACCAACTCTTCGAAGTTGGGAGGACTGGCTGTGTCCTGAGGGCAGATCCTGGGCAGCAAGCCACAGCATTCACAGTGTTATAGTCATTTTAAAAGATATGAATTAACTCAATAAACTTGAGTACCAAGTATGTTTTAGGCCCATTACTAGGTGATGAATAGCAACCAGAGTCCAATACTTAAGGCCTCAGTTAATCCTCAGAGTCAGTCTTCCATCTTGTAGTCAGGAACTGTTCAGTTGAAAGGAGTTGATTTTAGTTTTTCAGAAAGGTAGAAAATAATATAACAAATTACAGTTGGCCCAGCATCCAGTTTTGCCAAACTTTAATATTTTACTATATTTGCTTCAAGTCTTTCTTGATTGCTTTTTAAACTTAAGAGAAATAAAATACTATATAAAAAAGCTAGGTGAAAAGCATCATAAATACTACGCTATCATCCCAACAGGATGATTAATGCGCCTGACTGCAAAGCCGTTTGAACTACAAGGTCGGTGGTTCAAGCTCACCAGCTGCTCCTCAGAAACCCTATACAGGGTCACTATGGGTCAGAACCGGCTCGAAGGCACTTAACAACAGCAATCATCCTGTTGTGCTGTTGGATCAGCATTGGCCTGCTAACCACAAGGTTGGTAGTTCAAACCCACCACCTGCTCCTTGGAAACTATACAAGGTCACTGCGAGGTAGAACTATCTCAACAGCAGTTAACAAAATCAGTTTTGTAAAAGGTGAAGAAAAAATATACAGGCAAATCCTGACTAATGCGAAGTATTTTTTGTCTATTCATGAAGGATGTTTAGAAGACTACCCAAGCAAGTATTAACATTGATTGCACCCAAACATGGCTGGAAGACATTTTATAAGCATAAACATAAAAATCCTAAGCAAATATTAGCAAGTTGAATCTTTCAATGTATAAAAATATTAATATAGCATGACCAAGCAGTTTTTATCCCAGGAATGCACAGTTGTTTTGCATTCTGAAATTAAACACTATTTGCAGGGGTCTGGCCTCGGCAAGGGGGTGAAGACCCGAAGATGGGGTGTCCGGTGACAATGGAGAGAGAGAGAGAGAGAGAGAGAGAGAGAGAGAGAGAGAGAGAGAGAAACAGACACAAAGAAAACAGATACAAAGAAGACAGACACCCGGGCTTGATGCAAGCTGCCAGACAGACTGCTCAGTGGCTGACATTTTCCTTTCTTGGACTAACTCTAGGTGGGATGTCTGGAGAGGCGAGAGAGAAAAGAAACACTCGGAGACCAAAGTTGATGCAAAACCGGCAGACAGCCTCTTTATACTCTGCAAGCAATAATGCCCCCCCGCAGAAGTCTGCGTCCGTCTTTTATTTCCTCTCTTTCAGGGAGGGATCTTTAATATAAATTAAGCCAGTAAACCTTACTTAAACCAATATTCCTTTCTTCCTTACTGGGTTTAACCTTCATTTGGATCAAACTGATTGAACCCAGGGTGGTCCGAGGGAGTTGCCCCCATTGTCCTTAATCCCATATTCCCAGAATTTACCACTCCACCCCAAGTGAATATACCCTGGGCAGTTCCTCTCCAGAGCTTCCCTGCTTAATCCCAGTAAACCTGTCCTTGTTCGTCCTCTGAGGAAGTTTTACTGCCTTGGTTCTAGGGGGAAAATCTTGACCTTAGAAACTTAGGGGAATATTGCATTTCTCTGTGGACATCCAGGGCTCATGTTTGGAATTAAATAAATATAACTGAACACTAAAATGAAAAACAATTTGCTATTAACTGCCAGTGGCCTCATTTGTTACACTCCGGCCTATAGGGCCTCGAACCTCTGACCAGTCTTACACGGTCTGCAACAACTATTCACCACAAAGGAGAAAACTACACAATTATTTCAATAGATGCAGAAAAAGTAGTTGGCAAAACTCAATATCTAGTCTGATTAAAATTCTTAGTAAATAAAAGAGAAATTCTTTAATTTGGTATTGGGCATTGCATCAATTTGGGTTCATGCAAGAAAGACCACAAAAGCAGTACTTTTCATTAATTTTTTTTAAAAAATTGAGAATATTGTGGACTCATGCAGTTGTACTGAGATAATACAGAGCGGTCCCATGTGCCCTTTACCTGGTTTCCTCAATGGTAACATCTTATAAAGTGATTATACAGCATCACAACCAGGATATTGATTTTGATTTTTTATACTTTCAAAATAAAGAACATTTCCATGACAAGGATCCCACTTGTGGCTCTTTTATAGCCACACCTTTTTCTCCTCAAGGTAAAGAAAATAAAAATCCTCACCACTGGGCCAATAAAT